TGTACATTCAGAAATAATCGTACGAGTGTTGTTGCTGATCAATTGCAATTAGATGGGAAAATTGGACGAGTGTTTTTACAGTCATAATAAGCTGCTTGTTGGAATGTGTTTGAATTGAAATTGTCCCAATAGAAATCGCTCAAACTCTAGACTTATTAATTCATATGAGATGGAAAGTAAGCTAAATGACATTCAACTAGAGAATGATGAAAAAATGGTTAGTTTTGATATAACTAGTCTTTACACTAATATACCAGTCATTATGACCTTAGAAGCAGTTATAAAAGAACTAACTGCGGATCCTGAACTGAATCATAGGACAAAGCTGCCCATTGAACAAATTATGTTAGGGATTCAGTTATGTCTCACATCTACCATCTTTAAGTTCCAAGGCAAAATATATAAACAAACAGAAGGTGTAGCAATGGGATCACCAATATCCCCTATTGTAGCAGACATATTTATGGACAGCTGGGAAAGTAGTGCTCTTAATACGTTTAACCCCACTCCAAAAATATGGTGGAGATATGTGGATGACACTTTCACGGTGTTAAAAACAGAACATATCTCTAGCTTCCTGACACATATAAACTCACAAGTAGAAGGAATTAAATTCACATTTGAATCAGAAAATGAACAAGGAGAATTAGCTATGTTAGATTGTAAAATAAAACGAATAGAAGAAGGCAAACTACACACTAGTGTTTATAGAAAACCAACGCGTTCTAATAGATATTTAGACTTTAATTCGTCTCATCCTGTCTGTTCGTTCTTTGTCGTTTTGTGTGCCTCAGTAGCATACTTATCACTCCCGCCCTGTGACACGGCAGCAGGAAGCGCGGTCGTTGTTAATCCGGGCCACGGCGGATCCGGCATGAAATTTTGTGAATTCGTTTGGATCATGGTATTGGATGAGATAGCTGCTTTTTGTTTAACCGCTATCCAAACAACCTGCCTGGCATGGTAGAACCTCAAGAGACATAAGTCTCAGCCAGTATAGCTTGATAAGTTCATTGCGGTGTTCAAGCCCGACCACCACGTCAAGGTAGCAGCTTTCGGTCGGGTCTCATCCGTTAACTGTTAAGGCAGGCTTAGTAAAGTGTCTAACAAATCGAGCCATAGCACTAAGTAGCACAAAAAAAGACCTAAATGATGAAATAAAACAGATAGAAGAAGCGTTGGTGTTGAATAACTATCCTATAAAATTCATTAGGAAGATCACCAAAAACCAAAAGCAAAATAAAAATAATGGTAAAACTATTAATGATAACACAAATAAGAAAGAATATAAGTCATCCACTGTTATACCATATAAGGAAAGCACATCTGAGGCCCTACGTAGGATTCTTAATAAAGCAGGAATTAGGGTGGCATTCAAACCTACAAACTCACTCAGAGACAAGCTCTGTAGGCTAAAAGACCCGGTGGATCCAATTAAACAAAAAAATATAATTTACGAAATACCCTGCAATAACTGTGAGGTCAACTACATAGGTCAAACTAGTAGGTCAGGGATAGTCAGATTAACAGAACATAAGAATTTAGCTAAGGTAAGAATGGTTGACCCTAAAAAGATAAATAATTTAGAAAAAAGCTCAGCTATTGCACTTCATGCAATAACAAACAACCACACAATAGGGTGGGATAGGGTTAAAATTCTAAAAAGTAATATAGCTAAGTGGAGAGAGAGGTTGATTACGGAATCCTTATTTATCGAGTCCACACCCAACACATGCAACAAAAATGACTCAATGCAAATACCAGAGATATGGAAGATATTATTACCGCAGGTCAAATCAGAAGAGGGTAATAAATAATATTAAAATTCTATTTCAATTCAAACACATCACAACATCCTAACAAAAAACTTATTATGACTATTAAAACACTCGTCGTATCTTCCATCTGATTATAGTAGATCAATAACACTCGTATTAATGCCATCAGTCAAACCGGTAGAAGATAATAAATAATCTTAAAATTCTATTTCAATTCAAACACATTCTAACAAGCAGCTTATTATGACTGTAAAAACACTCGTCCAATTTTCCCATCTAATTGCAATTGATCAACAACACTCATACGATTATTTCTGAATGTACATTATCTCACATTGATTTTTAATCCAATATCTAATCCATTCCACATATGTATATAAATGAGAGATCAAAGTTGTGTGAGTAACTTGATATGATTATGAGCAATAGTTTGTGCTCGAAACGTCATCAGTTCATATAACTGTAAACACTGTGCGATTTATCAAAATAAAATCTTATCTATAATGGAATAACATTGACTAGCTGACAGAATTAAAAGTTGCAATTGACCGCTTCTGTCCCATTTTTATTAGGGTGGTGGAAATTAAAGAGAGGTAAATTTGTCTGCCGACTGCCTATATCATCTCATGCACTTAAGTGTTTTATCGATCTTTTATGCAGATGAAATATCTGTAGTATTCCTTGCACAAAAACACTTTGAGATTACCTTTATCCTCACCAGAAGTCAATTCGATTAAATCGTGAAAGCGAATTTCCACGTTACCAAAGAGAGCATAGGCACACAGTGTGTAGTAGTCCATTGGATTAAGCAATCGAATTTCAGCCAGTAAGACCCGAATTCAAATCTCGCTGCATGTACTTAAACCTGAGCAACTGGGTCGTTTCATCAGCCCCTCACACAATAACTATGGATCATAGCCACACGAAGGGAAAGTAAGTCCTACTAATTAACTGACTAACTTTTTGTTCTGCGTCGAACTCAAACTATGACTTCACTGGTAGTAGTAAAATTTGGTGATGTAAACACTGAACACAAAAACCTAAATTCTCTAATCACAGCAACTTACAACATTCGGAATACAAATGAAACAATGGGAACTGATATATGTAACGCTAAAATTTATAATCTTTCCGCATTAAATAAAGGCCATTGTAGCACGAAATGATTCTATAAAATTATAAGCCTACAGCCTTCATCATCATTCAACATTGAGTGTTGACATAAACTACTTAAGTCGACCGGTTAGACTGAAGGTACACGGTGAAATCCGCACACCGCACAGATCACTACCGAAAAGTACCGATTGTGAAACGTTCTCCGTGTTTTGCATTATAGAATAGTTGTTCTGTTTTTTTTGGTGTACGTCAAATGAGTACATCTAGCGTCTACAGTGTAAAATACACTTATTATCGTATCCATTCATTCTAATTAGGACTTTTATCTCCTAAACTATCCTTACAATGCAGTAACTAAACAGTTAGTAAAAAAAAGCTTAAACATTCGATGAAAAGATACATGAACCCATTAGTTTGATTACAGATGGAAATTTGTATGACAAATAATGTTGTCATGGACGATGAATAACGATCTTTACCCAAGAGATATGAAGGTCTTTATTTAGATATGCATTATGAACGTACAATTGGTATGTAAAAGCGAATGGATGAATTTTCAGTGCGCAACCCTCTGGAACATTTACTGGTAGGTTTTCGATGTCAAATAATGGGGATAACAAAATCCATTCAATCGCAGAGACAATGAACTCAATGGAAAATAAAGGAGTACAAACAGGTTGCAACAACTTGCTGATTTCACTAGTGCTGAAGAAGAAAAGCCCAGACCAATACAAGCAAGGCAAATAAGTGACAGTGTCTGATAACGTCTAAGAATTTTACTGACGCTTATACTATAATTTGAGGTTGATAATGACTAACTGCTTACAAAATTCCTGAAGCATAATTATTGCGTCCATTATACCCTGACAATTAGCTAAGAAAGTAAGTGTCATTTTCAAATATCCATAAGAGAGACGATTCGAATGGCTTAATCTATTTTTTTTTATCCCGGTTACGTAGGATAAATGATCATGAAGCATTGAATTCAGATAAATGACTCTGGATGGAAATTTTCCTCTCTGGTTTTTTACAATATGTCAGATCACAACCAGGAGTCGTATTACAGAAACGAACTTCAGAAAAAGTGATATCTGCGTCTTGAACAGTAATTTATCCAAAGACATACTGGATACTTGCTGGGAAGAAATTAGAATTCTGTTTAAAGGTTACTTTTTAGACGAAAAACCTAGATTTGAGATCCAGCAACTCATGAACTTTAAGTGATGCCCCCCCCTCCACTATATATTCGCGATATGATGACTGCTACAGGATCCTTTGAATCAAGTCATTTTCAAGTAGTACGGTAAGAAATGAATGGATTCTTGTGTCTAATTAATTGCAGATCTACACATTTTTACTACTTAATTAATAAACAGACATAACTATGCAGATTGATTTGAATATCAAGTCTCAAAGGACTACTGATGTTCCTTTAGATTCATCTGCCTGGAATTTTTATACTATCCCATTAGAATTGATGCCCATAGTTGTCCACGTGAACCAATGTATGTCATGTCTTTCAACTGATATCTTGCGTTCATCACTACAAAGATGAAGAGAGTCTGCCCTGGCTAATGAAGTCTTTTTCTCAATTCATGCAATCTATTTGATAACTAACATCGGTTACGTCATCTTTCGTTGTTAGGTCTTTTGTCTGTCTGTTTTCGACATAGAACTTTGCACCAATGTGCGGCAGTTCAAGTCGCCACACTCCATGTAGCACACAAAGCAACATGAGAAAGTAGAAGAAATCCATAATAGAGACAGTAAACAGAGGTGTGAGACAAAGGAATAGTAATAACGAAGAACAGAACAGTTTCATTGGAAATCATAAGTCACAAGGAGTGGATGCATCTGCACTAGCCATTGAGAACGATTTTGAGCCATGTCACCAATTGTTTCCAACCATTGGTTTTTACCATCCCGAGGACCCCAACCAGGAAGTCTACACCTTCCTACGTGGCTTAGACTAACTGTTATAGATTTCATTGACTGGTGCCATGTTTTCGTTTGACCTCCGCTAGCTCTTTTCCAGCCTGTTATGTCTTTTGGTGAAAGTCAGTGAGAAAAACACAAAGTGTTGTTTTAAATTAATAAACAACTTACACATTATTCTTTTCTGATTGTGAGTTATGTAACGTACTCAACGATTTAATCCATACTTCTTTGCCACACAAACCAATATATCCTGGGAAAAGTTTAAATGTATGACTCTAAAAGAGATTAGAGAATAACAACGTAAAGAATGGAAATGAAATATGGAGAGAAATGAAACAGCATATATATACATATATAGTTCATCCATATGATCGTGATTTTAATATGTGACCAACACATTTTGATATTTTCGTTCACACAAATACAGATTCTTTATTTACTAATATTATTCCTTTAGGTTCTGAGTAGCAATAAACAATGGGCGAGTGTATAGAACAAGAAAGAAAAAGGGATTCGAATACACAGTGTTCAAGAGAGGATGGAACATAAAGAGTAAATGTACAGTAAATGCCGTTTAACAATGGGAGGAAAATTACTACGGACCAAATACAATGTTGACACATTAAAAGAGATAAATTTTGGTAGAAATCAATAAGCACGATCACGTAGTAACATGGTAAACAAAATATAAACTCATAGTATATTATATTGTTATTCCGTTGGGTTCCAAGTGGAACATAAGGCTTCAGAAGCACACATTTTCATTTCATCCTGTTATCTACTGTCCACTTTAGCTGACTCCATTGTTGCTCATGAGGTCTTTTCTCCTCCTCACACTATCTTCTCCATATGATACTCGAACTAGGACCCGACTTATCGTTTCCCATTTGGATTCTGCTCGAGGGCATGTCGCTCGATGTGACTCTACGGTCTCCTCAACATGCGTCCAATCCATTTCTATTTCCTTCGGCATATTCGTTCGGCGATAGGTACTCGGTTGGTTCGTTGCCAGAATTCCTTGCTGCTAAACCTTTCTGGCCATTTGATCTTCAGCATGGGGCGGAGTCAGCTGTCAATGAAAGTCTTCAATCAGCTATTGGAAATGCTTTCGATTACGTGCGGGTTAAGTCTCTGAACCATATATTAGCACTCATTTTACATTACAGTTGAAAATTCGAATCTTGCTGATTCTAGAAGATTTCCATACTCATTCCAGAGTACCGAATGTCTGTCTCACTTTTCCCTTCCTGCGTCTGACATTCTCATCTATATCGCTTGTAGTTGAAATGATGCTGGTGAGGTAAGTGAAAGAAGTGACTTCATTCAAATCCCTTTCATTGATAGTGATTGGTTAGTTTGTCATCCAACACTACTCGATCACAGAATACGACCACAGTGTGAAGAGTGCTTTTGCATATTGTAGTTGAATGAAAATTTTCAAACGGATTAGGGTTGTTAAAAAAGATGGGGATAAAAGGACATCATTATGCTGGAGGAATATTCATCAAAGACTTGCCCAAGCGAATAATGCCTTTATCTAATACTCACCTCTATTGAATTGATCTTCTATATTCTACAACCCTAGCAAAGACATACTACTGACAAGTAAGACGAAATATGGATGTGCTTCACTGTATTGCTAAATCGTTTAACAAACAAAGTCCAGCGCATCAAAATGTTGACTTATTTGTGCTATATTTATCACACCAATCATCTTAATGCACATATGCTTGAATATATTCAAGCATTAAGAGCACAGAATCTATAATCAGCTGTCTACTGTAGGGAAATAAACATTTCAGGTTAGTTATCATAGCGCTTCCAGTGAAAGTGTGGTCACAGTTCTTACAAGGATACACAAGCCAAAAACAACACACACACACAGATTTTGTCGCAAACATATAAGTACTATCATTGTGGAGAGGAATTACTTGGAAATACGAAGGGTGAGTATAAGTGGTGCAGTGTTAAACAATACAAGTTTTCTACCCGTTAATTTTCCTCTCTCAAAAAGGAAGAAATAACACGCTACAAAATATTCAATCACTTACATCATCAGTATGTTTACACAGTAGAGCAGTTCCTGAATACGTGGCAATTATCCCAGCATTACACGTATGCAGAGATGAGCATAAGGCACCACTAAATTAAGATAAAATACAATTAATAGATCAGTAAACTGTGATTTATAAATTCGGGCTGAGAATGTAGCAAATAGGTCACTCGATATTATCATATAAAAGTTTACGGGAATATTCACATACAGTCAAGGTCATAAATTTCCACCGAGGGAATATTGATACTATCGTTTAGTATGAGAACTACCGTCTTACTACTGATAACTAATGATAGTAGTAATAATTTCATTCCAAAAAATAATTCTAAGGAGGAATTGAATCTTCAGCATCTATGCACTACAACAGTATAATAAAACCTAAATAGGCAACCACAAAAACTGAACTTAACTTTTGACTTAATAAAACTTCCACTTAAAATCCTGATATGAAACGAAGTGAAGGGTTCTTATACAGACTGCCACAAGAATGAATTCCAAAATAATCTCAGATGTATGTTTTATGATAAGGTGAATGAACAATATGTTAAGAACATTGTATTTCCCGATTTGCCTACTTTATTCGATAAATAACACACAGTGACACAGTATATGCCATTTAAAGTACAATTTACTGTTAATAGTCATCTCAGTCTATTCATTAAACTTGATAATTTGCTTTATATAGTTCTACTCCTGATTTTTTATTGTAATTTTCCATGTATTCGGTATGGACGTCGCGTCATTTCAACTGTAAGCGTTAAGTGTAATTAACCTCTCTTTCTCTCCATCTAGCTATATTACTTTTTCCCTATCCGACCTTTGATATAATGGATAAGAATGGCAGCTCAGGTGGATGATTTTGATGTAGTTGTAATCTCTGAGCTGGATGGTTTATTTGCGAAGCTTTCATTGCCCTAATAGGCACCATCTTCAGCGCATACTCAATTCCGAAGTGAGCTTTTAGATTTCTCTACGAGTTTATAAGTCATCTCTCCAGCTAGAGATCACAACTAGATCTTTCCACTTTATTTTGTGAGTACATAGAAGTGTGCTTCAAGCATCATCCATTTATCAATACTGTATCATTATGTGTTATAATTAATCAACTTATTTAACACGAAATTATATATTAAAGAAACGATAAAACGATAGCTTTATTCTGAAAAATGCGTTTATACACAATGCATAATCTTCAACGAGTGTCACTGCACGGTATTTACTTCTCGTGTAGAATCTTCAAATGATATAATAGTCGATAATATATCATCTGAAGTGGTATTGTTCCTTCCGAAGCTTGTTCCAGTACTACTTCAAAGTGTTATTCAACAATTTCCTTCGAAAAATTCCCAGCGATAGGTAAGAACTTATTTGAAATAGTACACAAGTATGAATTGTGACTCACATTGTGTTAATTAGATTATCAGAAAAATAGGAAAGGGAGTAAACATCATGCATCTTGATGGATAGAAAATTTAAGTAGTCCGGTGATTTAAACAGGCCGTCCTGGTCAAATTTTACCCTTATATTAGTTTTTAACTGGTAGAAATAACAACAGAAAGGTTCGAAATTTTCCATTATTCTGAACACAATCAATTATGATTACACTAAAGATGAACTTGTTTTCTGATATCCATCAAAATGGAGTTTGAGGGTAGTAACCATTCACTAATAAGTTATTGACTTCATTTCTGGGAGTTTATAACATTGTCGACAGACGAGTGATCAGATGTATATTTTTCTACAGATCAAGATCTTGGTATTTGGTTTACGGAGTAAGTGAGGAGGCAGTCCTGAAATATGCGGATTACAGATTTGTTAAAATTCCTCAACATAACATATCTATAGACTTCACAACTCACACTTTACTTACGAGATTCCAGTCTGCATCACACCTGCAGTTACAGAATTTTCAGCTAAGCTGTAATCAACCCATCAGATTTAACTCTATAAGACAACATGCATCAGTCATATCTAATCACTAGGATGTAATGACTTCATTATTACGTAACAAACCAGTGTTAATAAATAGGAAAATATAAATGAATGATAACAACAGTAAAGAGAACTTATATTATGCTTACCTTTGTACAATGCTTTGATCAAATGAAAAACTTTCACGTTCATTACTGCTTACAATTATGACATCACCATTAACGAGAACAGCAACAATTTCACATTGCTCTAGTTGATTGGGTTTACTATAACGTGGGCTTATTTTCATAATAGGATGACTTGTAATGAAGCTAAATATTACGCATTTAAACATAAACAATCTTATAAGATTTATAATTTCATTAGAAGAGTTTCAGAAAAGACTCTCGAGTAAGTTGGATTACGAAATGACATCAGTTACAGAAGCACTGAAAAACAAAGAGAGTGTTGGATAGCTATTTCGTCTTTTTTGGGATTCTTCAGCACTCAGCAAGTCAACATTTGAAAGTCTAGAATGCAACAGATGAAGGACATAAATGATTCAATGAGACAAGCTTTTAATTGCACAAGGTCTCATCTCAAAGTAACTAGTACTTTTATGTGCATAGATTTTCCTCAGTAGATCTTTTACACTTAATAGCTACAATAACTAGCCTCATGTGTTTATCTGAACTAAGTTTCCAGAAGAGGTTTTTATTTTCCAACCTATGATCCATGCTGATTTTGTGTAGAGGATAATGATACCCCCCAGATAACCAGGTTGAAGTAGATGAGGCAGAATTTGAACTATCAACCTACTGGCTGAAAATCTGGTGCTCAAGGCAATGAGCCACATCTTCTCTGTTTTCTGGACGAGATACCTTTAAGAAAAATATCTGGATGACCTATCAGTTAGAGATAATATGCATATGATGAAATACCGCTTTGAATCATATCCAATGTGTTAAGGTTATTACTACTGGCCAGCTGACTGAAAAATGCACACGAAGTTGGAAGTTATGTCTGATAGGTGAAAATGTTCAGTAAAAATTCATT